GTGTGTGTGTGTGTGTGTGTGTGTGTGTGTGTGTGTGTGTGTGTGTGTGTGTGTGTGTGTGTGTGTGTGTGTGGACCAAGGGAAGGGCTTAGTGAAAGAAGCTACATCAATTTACATTCAGAAAGGAATATAAGAGAACGGAAGAGAGAGAGAAAAAGAAATATATCAGCGTAGCCTAAGGAAAGTGTTGTTGTTGGTGTTTGGCTGTTTTATAATGGATGGAGGGGATCTTGAAAAATGCAAGGTTGCAGAAGGGGATATGAGATGCTGGTGAGCAATTCAAACAGAATTCCCTTACTCTTTGAAAAAGATGCAAATTAAACTTTAGACTTCTTTTAATAGTACCTTTGGCTGTTTGGACTGGGCTTCTTTGAATGCAGGACCATACAGAATCAGGGCTACATGGAGATATGGAGGATTGCATGAGCATTTTAAGAAGGGAATCTGGAGCCCCTTCCGACAGAGTTAACAGCCAGTGTGGTTATAGCCAAGCTCATTGCAAAATAGTCATTCTTATGCTGTCACTGGATAATGGCTTCATCTTTTTCTCCTGGCTCTGTTGATCACATCTAGACCTCAGAACATTCTAAAATGGGTTCCTGCATGCCATTATGTAATGGAACGTACCTCCTTTTCATGAGCACCCTGTTGAATCCTGAAAATAGAGAAAAGCTCTCATCACTGCAGTCCCGTTCATCTTCTTCCCTGACCTCCTCCCTTTAGAATTATCGAACATCCTCTCCCAAAGGAATGGGCAGCCAAGGCATCGTAAGGCCACCTCTCTGGCTTAATACCATAGGGCCCTGGGTGCCTTCAATGCAAATTCAGGTGGAAAGCTCAAGCCTTAGCGCCTTCACTAGTGTATCTTGATGTTTGAAGGTGTTTCTTGGCCGCTCACATAGGGGAAGTTTGACATTTTAATGTTTGTTTGTGGGATGTGGACATACAAGCCTACGAGCTTCCTGTCATCCAGTTTATTCCCTGGAACACGCTTCCTGAAATCGGAGCACGGTCCTCCAAGGCTTAAGGCATAGCAGTGCACTTTTGATGGGGAAACACTGGAGCCAGCCTAAGCAGAACTCTTTGGTAACAGTGTATCTCTACCCCAAGACTCGTCTGTATCCTGCATTAACCTCACCATCCCTTCTTACTTTTCAAATGTAAACTAGGCAACTTTTGGGGAGACAGTTTCAAAGTCCTTCGCGGCACATAGTTCCATCCACCCACATCTCCTCTTCTCCTCTCCCTGCCCAGCTCTTCCTGGTACAGCCTGAACTTCCTGCGAACCACGCTCTGCCTGTCCAAACGGTAACTCTTCCAACAATATATTTGGAGTGTCTTGAGTTTGAAATATGAGAGTCTACTTTGAGAGAAATGTGCATCTCTTGGTATACCTTGCTTCTCTGTGATTGTGTCTGCACTCCAGTAGCTCCCAGTCTAATGGGTGTAGACATTCTTGTTAGCTGTGTACTGGGAAGCAGAAAAACTGGATCCAGATCTCTACAGCCCCATTTATCTGCTGCTAACCTTGGAGAAGCAACTTAACAAGGATCAGCCTTTGCTTTCTCAGCTGTGAGATGCAGCCAGTCTCATGTAGCTGTTCTGAGGATCAAATGAACTGATGGCTGGGACAGGCTTTACTTCCTGTACCTGCTTACGTACAGGTAATGCATATATTGCATAATATCAACAGGGACATTCATCTCACACATGACCATCAAGTGTACCAAGCCAGCTCCAAACCCAGCACTAATATGTTAAAAGGCAGTGCTGCAATCAGTACACACGCTCTGACCTAATTTGTTCATTTTCCATTTGAACTGCTGCCGTACTCAGATTTTAATCCTACAAATAATCATAGAGGGTAGGACTGTTGATACTCCTGTTTTTTGAGAAGAGGAAACTGAGGTTCAAAAAAGGTTTTTATGAGTTATCCAAGGTCTTGGGCAGAGTTGAAATGCAAACCCAGGGTCTGTGACTCCAGACCCCTTGCTGTTAACTTCTGTTCTATCAGTCCGTGGAGACC